TGTAGACTGGTGCAGCTGCTCTGGAAATCTGTGGAGATTGCTCAAAAAACTAGGATTAGAGGTCCTATTTGACCCAGCTATTCCTCTTCTTGGTATCATCCCAAAAGAATTAAAACTTCATATCACAGTGATATATGTACACCCATGTTTATAGCAGCACAGTTTTTAATAGCTAAATCTCAGAAATAACCCAAATGCCCATCAACTGATGAATGGATAAAAAAAGATTGGGCTTTTAAAAATATATAATGGAGTATTATTCAGCAATAAAGAAGGATAAACTTGAGATATTTCTAGGTAAACGATGCACCTTGAGAACACACTCTAAGTGAAATAAATTGAACACAACACACATGTATAAATATCACAGCTTTCTGGTGTGTCTGAGAAACTGAAAGTGAAAATAAGACCAAAAAGAATAATAAATATTGTGAAATAAGAAATTGTTCAAAAATTATACAGAATGTGAGATACTGTCAATATTTAAAATCCTTTATGCAAAAAAATATAATATTATTGGGAAATAATGAGTGATAGATTAGCAAATGAAAATATATTCTTTTAAGGTCATGATACACAGTGTATTTACCATGGTTATTCTCTAATCATTTTCATTATGAAAAATTATTTTTTCATAGAATGGCTTTATTTTCTTTATTAATATCTACTTGTATTACATTAAATAAAACATTTTTTAATTTTTTAAAAATTATTTATGCTTTATTCTCATGATCACATGACTGCGCCTGACAAACCTAGTGTGACTTCTAGAATGAATTACTATGATTAGCAACCCTGTCTACTTGAGAGTTGGTTTTCCTTGATAAAAGTAATAGTCATAGTAGTAGAAGCAGCAGCAGTAGTAATAGTAAATATAACTGCTTGAGAGAAAATGAATTTTGGACAGGGGATACATACAGGTCTTTGGCTCATTGTACTTTGTCAGTCCTTTATTAGGTATATCTTTTGCAAACATTTTATACTAGTCTCTGGCTTTTCTTCTCATTTTCTTGATAGCATATGTTGCAGGGCCAGAGGTTTTAGTGTTAATAATATTTGCTTTCACAGTTGTTTATTTTGTGGGTGATGCTACTGGTGTTGTATCTAAAATGTTATCAGAGTACCTCTCACCATGTAGGTTTCCTCCTATGTTACCTTCTAGGTGTTTTACAGGTTTATATTTTACATTTAGGTCTATGATCCATTTTGAGTCATTTTTTGTGAAAAGTTGTATGGTCTATATATATATTTTTTTTGCATGTGGATAGCCAATTCTTTAGCATCATTTTGTGAAAGGACTATCTTTGTTCCAGTCTTTATTTTCCTTTATTCATATGCTATAAGATCAGTTAACTTATTACTGAGCTCTGTTTATTCTATTCCATTGATCAGTTTGTCTTTTTTACCAATGCCACACTGTCTGGATTACTGTCATTGTAGTAATTCTTTTTTTTT